AGAGGAGGAAGGGGTGGGGGAGGAGGAAGAGGAGGAAGTGGACGAGGAAGACAACGTGAAAGGAGCGGAGGCGGCGGTGAAGAGGAGAAGGAAGACAGAAAGAGAGGGGGGAGGAGGAGGAGGAAGAGTATGGAGAACTTAGATTGAGGTGCTTTGAAGGAAATGGAAAGCAGGAGGGGGAGGAGGGAGATGAAGAGGGAGAGGATGGGAAGAGGAGGAAGGAGGGCTGCAGATGCCACTCACATGTCTGGACGTGCTCCAGTTTTCTCAAGGAATGTGCTTCTATTTGGAATCAAAGTTTCTTGAATTCTCTCCAAAACATCAACAGTATCAACATCAAAATATGGTTTATAGGTAGAGATATTGAAAATCGATCGCCATCCAGAGCCAGATGAGCTGCTGCTCGCTTCCCCACCGTCTCCTGCTCCTGATGGCCCGACTGAGGCTGGAAGAACAAGAGACAAAGCACGGCCACAAAAGGACAAAAATGACGCGTGTGCATTGAGCCTCACTGCTCGTCACCTTGAGCACACACACACATTGAGAGACCACACGAAATCCACACTGGAGACCAAAGATGCAAGTCCAGAATAGCGCAGCTTAGGACGTCCTGACCGGACAGTCAGGGGGGTCCCGGACGTCGGGGCCGGGACAACTCCATTTTCCGCAGTTTAAAGCATGAGAAAAAGAAAAAAAAAATGGGGTTGTCTTTAATTTTATTTTAAATTTGACAAAGAATTTCGATGTGATCCCAAGGCAAAAGTTGTTCAGTTTATTTTTCTGCATAGCATAGTTTTTTTTCCGGATTTTCTTTAAAAAAAATTTTGTCGTTCGGGCTCGGACAGACTGTCCCGGGAGGATGTCCGGCCGGTTGTCCGACTGGACAACCCCGGACAGTCAGGGAGGTCCCGGACGTCCGACCCGATAACCTAGCAAATTATCATATTCAACAGTTTCAGAGTTCCGGAAAGTCACCAGGCGCTCAACAGTGCAGAGTTAAGCAACTCATGTCCAGCATCCTCTTCTCTCTCTCTGGACTCCTCATGCATCCGCTCAACCTCCCCCTCTCACTCTCTCTGCTTGAAGATCTTGACTCTGAATACATCCGCTGATACTCAGCTCTAACCCCTACTACTAGCAGTGCGGCTATGGCCACCTTCCCTCTCACAGCACAGCGCTGCCCCTGGTGGGCTCCAGCCCAAGCTACCCACAAACGGCGCACAAGTGCCAGCAGCACTCCACACTCCTTGCGAATGAGCAATCCGTCCAAAATGTGGCTGGCCAGTCCTTGTATTGACATGGACTGAGCCTGAACCCGTCCCAGCCTCTGCTTCCTTCGGCTTGACTTTGGACCTGCCTGGTACCACATAATGCCCACGGCCTGCTTGCTTCAGAATGTCGAGGCCTGCTGGTAGCTCCCTGAATTTCCCTTACTGCACTGCTGCTTGGGCCTGTGAGTCACGACTTTTCATTTGTGGGATGCGACTCTCTACCCATGAGACATGACCTTTGCCTGTAGATTATGCCTTTCGACTTCGAGATGTGACTCTTGCTTGTGGGACCCGACTTTTGCCTGGGGAAATGTCCTTTGCCTGTGGGATGGATGTGACCTTTCACCGTGAGACGTGACTTCTGCGTTTGGAATGCAACCCTTCGCCTCTGGGATGTGACTGCTGACCGGGTGCCTGTTGGACTTGAGCTCTGGGGCACCCGGCTCAGCCTTTCTGAAACTGGCCGACGCGGCCTCCTTTATTAGCCTGGCAAATTGTCCCTCAGATTCGAATTTGGGGTCTGCATCGTGGAATGGCTTTCACACGACTGATTCACCGTTGTTTATCATCATTCCATCCGTCAAGATAAAAAAAAAAAAAAAAAAAAAAAAAAGGAGGACAGACCATCATCCATTAAGGATCACCTTAAACCGGCAGAACATGGCCCCAGCCTTGCTGAAAAGAAAACTCAGAGGCCCGGCGCCGTAGATAAAGCGAATTGGTGGCGGGCGGCCTCCGAAAAGGGCCCGCGGCCGAATAGCTGGATGTACTGCTGTTTAAGCCGCCAGTACGTTCGTTTAAAAATAAATAAATAAATTAAAAAATAAAAAAAATAAAAAAAAACAGTACTGTGCCCATCATGGACATAGGAAACAAGATGGCTGCTGTATAGGCGAAAAATATATAGTCTGTCGAAACAATTCTGGCACAAAGACCAATTCTGTCAGCGACAAAGAAAAAATATTCGATAAATAAATAAATCAATAAAATTCAACACATATGGGTACACCACTACGACCATACACCCGACCCCCATCAAGGTAGTAGTCGAGGGACGAGCAAAAAACAAACCATGAGAATTGGAAAAAAAAATGAGGCCCCGAGGTAGTGCTGACTCAACACTGTGTAAGGTTGACCGCACCTGTGCGTTGAGTGGACTTGGTTCACTGCACCTGGTTCAGAATGCTCACAGCAGAACCAATCAATCAACAATCGACTGACGACACAGCGACAGGGAAGGCCATAGGGAGGCAAATGGTTGGCATACCCAAAGGGTGCTCACACAAATTGGCCACACAAAAAATAATGGGGAAGGGCAAACAGAGGCAAAGGGCAGGATGAGTGAGGGCTATTCACACAAATGAAAAGGGAGCATGGAGAAGCGTGTTTGGACTCTGGAGGCCGTAAAGGTGGCCAGATACACAGGTTGATCCAACCAACGAGACGGATAAGAGAAGGAGAGGTATGTAGACGGGATGTGGTGAAATAGGGCTGCTAAGGGTACCATTTGCGTTTGCGGCTGGTAGAGGAGATGCACCGAGGGGATGGCCAACCCCTATACCACCTGCATACGGATCTGAAGGCACACAACGGCCACACGTTCGTTCAGTAGAGAAATATGTCAGTCAGCACGCATTTATCGCGCAACAAACATGCAGCTGCTGAATGTCAAGCAGACTGCGATAACAATGCAATACAAACCTCCAACTCTTTTTTGTTCCTTTCATTGTATCTTTTCTTCTTTTGTTTCTTTCCTTTTCCGTTTCTTTTCTTTTCTCTTCTGTTCAAATTTCTACCTTGTCTTCATATGAAATGACCTGAAACCTACAGGATCAAGGATAAGGCTCAGGGGAGAATGAGAGTAGGATAAGAATTGGATAAGATTCGGATAAGATTCGGATCAGATTCGGACAAGATTCGGATAAGATTAGGATCAGATTAGGATCAGATTAGGATCAGAATAGGATCAGATTAGGATCAGATTAGGATCAGATTAGGATAACAAGGCATTAGGATCAGATTAGAATAACAAGGCATAAGGATAGGATGAGGGTAGGATTAGGATAGGATTAGGATACGATTAGGATAGGATTGTGATAGGGTTGGGATAGGATTGGGAGAGGCATAGGGTAGGAGTGTGATAGGAGTAAGATAGGAGTAGGATAGGGTTGGGATAGGAGCAGGATAGGATTAAATTAGGATCAGGATCTGGGCTACCAGACGTGCAGTCCGGGTCGCGTTGGGCAGCACTGGACCTGCCCGGGATGCACGGGCGGGCCATTGGGGCCGTGCGTGGTCCAGGCCAGGAATGCACAAAATCGGCACAGGGGTTTTGGGGGCTGATTTTGGCCTCGGCTGCTGCAGACCTCCTTCAGGAGGCAGTAGGCAAAAGGGGGAAAAAAATTGGGGGCCACGGGCTCGGTGCCATCGATCTGGGAGATCGAGGGCCAGATTTTGGGGGAAGTGCACTGCAGCCTGACGGGACTGCCAGTGAATCAAATTTGAACGTGCCCGCAGTAGTTCCTCCCTGGCAGTTGCACCTGCCCTCCTGCCCTCCCAACCTGTGCATCATCGCCCTGACTGTACATGACCATGGAGCTGCAGGACGTCATCGCAATTCGCGCCATCGAGCTGCACCTCACCATCGCCCGCTGAAGGCGGTAGCTACATCCTCCTCTCTTCCTTCTCCTCCTCCTCCCAATCTTCCTCTTCGTCGTCGTCCTCCTACTCCTTTCCGTTTACTTCTTCCTCTTCCTCTTTCGCGTCCTCCTCCTCCTCTTCCTCTTCTCCTTCTCACGTCCTCTTCCTTGTTGCCTCGTACTGGTCGTTCCGCCGTGTGCCAAGTAGCACATGCCTCTTTTTTTTTTAACAAATAATTCAACATACGGACTTGCTCCTCCTCGCATCTCATCTCGTCCTTTTTCCTCCTCCTCCTCCTTTCCTCATTGCGTCCTTCTCCTCGCTAAAACTTGGCCGTATCGGTCTGTGCCTCGTGGCAAGCGTCATTTGTTTTCGCTTTTTTATTTGTTCATATACGACCTTCCTCCTCCTCTTTTCCTCCTGTTCCTCTGTTTCCGCTTCGGCCTCCTCCTCCTTTTCCCTGCTCGTCATCATCTTTCTCCTCGCGTCCTCCTCCTCCTCACCTCATGTTGGTCGTCCTGGCATGCGCTTTTTCTTCCTTTTCCTGGAATTTAGACACTAATGTCTTCGCACCCTCCTCACGTCCTCTTCCTCCTCGCGTTCTTCTTCCTCCTTGCCGCCGCCCCCTCCTCCTCGCCTCACTTGCTCGTCTCGACACATGCCACATGGCACCAGGCACACACCTTTTTTCTTCTTTTTTAACTAATCTACTAACTTCCTCCTCCTCCTCCTCCTGCTCTTCCTCCCCTTTTTTGCTCTTCCTCCTCCTCCTCTTTCTCCCTTTTTTCCTCCTCTTCCTCCATCTCCTCCTCGACCTCCTCCTCCCTGCCCCCCTCTTCCTCCTCTTTCTCATGTTTTCCTACTCGCAGTCTCCTCCTCCTTGCGGTCTCCTCCTCGCCAGAACCTGGTCGTCCTGGCACGTCCCATGTGACACACTACCTTTATATATAGTCAAACAGAGCTGCCTGGTAAACCATAGGCGGAGAGGGAGAAGAGGATAACAAACGAGGGGCTGTGACAAACTGTTTCGTTGGAGTTTCACCGACTCATCAGGAGGCTGAACCCTCAACAGTGTGCAGAATATAGTCAAACAGAGCTGCGCGGAAAACCCTAGGCAGAGAGGGAGAAGAGGACAACAAACGAGGGGCTGTGTATATATTGTCACACTGTGAATCGGAGCGCAAAGACGGAAAAAGGCAAAACAAGGAAAGGAAACGAAGGAAGGAAGGAAAGCCCCGCCTGTTCATCACCTCTTACGTACAAGGCCAGCCGCGTGGATGACAGGTTTGAGCGCTGGCTGCCCCCATCCCCGTGTGTCACAACGACCCACTTGTACGCAACCAAAAGGCAAAGAGGTAAAGAAAAGGAGGACACCTCCTGACAGGGAAACAAAGCAAATGACACATCCCACAGATAATCCAATT